TTGGTACAATCACAGCATACAGGGTACTGTTCCAGCTTCCTTTCTAAAGTAAGGGAACAAAGATCCACAAAATTACTAGAACTGGTTAAAAATATCTGTAAAGTGGTGGGGGAAGGAAAGGGTCTTTTCAGGAAGAACTGTCAGTGTCTGTCTACCAGAATGCTTCATGGCATTCCTCCTTCACAAAGCAAGTTGACTGTCTCTTTAGTGATGTGGGTGATTTTTTCACTACTGAGGAAGGAGAAGTGATGCTACAGAAACTCCTAACTCTACCCCAGTACTGGGGAGGTAGGCAGAACACCAAGACCCACCCCATGGGCTGGAACAAAGGAAAAAGGTGACCAAGCTAAACATACTATAAAACATCTTGGCAGTGTTTCTGGAGCTGGGTAACACCATTTTGGAGTGAGAGGATCCCTAAATGAATGATGTCCTGTAGGAAGTGATAGAGAAATCCACTTAAAAACAGTGGTGATAGTTTGGTTGGGGTTTTTTGTTTGTTTTGTTTTATTTTTTAATTTCCTGCTAGTTAACAGACCACTTGGCAGTGCTCCTTCAGTATTTTCACATGAGTTTCTCTTTTATCTTTATAAAACTTAAACTCCTGGGCTGAGGTCCAGCCTTTGATAGATAGAGCAGAGACAGTTTGAGTGCCAAGGGATGTGGTCCTGAACTTGCAGACAGCTGCAGAGGATGTTGAATAAGGTTTCTGATATGGGGGTGTAGGCTTGGAAGTAGCAAGGCATCCAGGAGATGAAGGGTAGTCACCTGATTCAAGCTGTAGTTCTTCCACTGGTTAACACAGACCACCACCAAGATGACTGCAAGGACCAAGGTCAGAATGCTGGGTATCCCTGCAGCTACTCCAACCACCCAGGGCTCATACTAACTTAATAAGAAAGACAGGTCAAATGCATGCAATGTGATCTTCTAACTCTGTGTTTTGTAGCCGAGTGAGTGGCTACCATACAACATCAAGAAAGGCCAATGCAAGGAACAAAACCACAGCCCTGGATCAAAACAGTGTTGTCCAGCACAGATGTACTGCACACTGGGACTGACAGAAGAAGAAGAGATATGATTTCAGAGGGAAAACATTCCATGTAATCAATTGCATTAAATAATGAAACAAACTCTTACCCCAGAAGAACAATCTGCCTGGGCAGTTGTGCTTCCAGACGTATGTACAGAAGTCTAGAAATAAGATGGTTATAGAATATTTACAGAGACGTGTTTCATACAAAGCAAGCAAGGAGAAAGGCTAAGTGAGCAGTTGCAAGACTCCAAAACCAGCATGTGGTCAGTAACACATGGAGCACCCAGCTGTGCCCTGAAGTCATGGTCTGTGCTTGCCAGTCATAAGCAAAAACCTAAACTCTGGTCCTACCAACAATGGTTCTAACTGAATGAAAGGAATATGTATTTTTCCTCAAAAAGAGGCTCAAGGCTGAAAAAAAGCATATGCAAAGCGTATACAAGAGATACGCACATATATTATGCCAGAGAAAGCTGGATTCAGAAGGAAAAACAGCACAAAGGGGAATGGTAAACCCCAAGAAAAGATGTGCTTTTACCAGTGTCTTCTCTCTGTCCATGCCATGATGCTGGAGGCAGCAGCCTGCACAGCCTTGCCTGGAGGATCAGTCTGTGCCTCGCAGATGCAAGGCACACAGTGCAGGGCACTGGCAAATCTGGTGTACCTCAAACAAAACTTCATCCATAAAAGCAACAATTTCTCTTCCAGAATCCCATTCCTCAGCTCCTACAGATAACATGACGGTGAGTCATTAGTTGATCTTCATCCTATGCAATGTACTTACTGACTTTACAGTTGTGTTGTAAAACGGTGAGAAAGATGTTGTCTCCTGTAGAGAAATAAAATTAAATTAAATAATATTAATACATTAATAATAATGATGATGAAGAATTAAACCAGAACTGAGTATTAGCTATTGGAAGATGCTCCTGGCCAGGTGTGGGAGTTGGGAGGGGTGCTTCTGAAGTGACTGGAAAGGATGGCATGAGAATATATTCATTTGAGCTGAACAGGGAAGGCATATTCCAGAGAAAACAGAAGCCATGCCATGCTATTACAGAAAGTGATATGAGGAAACATGAACTCTTTTGCCTGAATTGTTTATACCATGCAATACCTCTGAGTAGTCAGAATCTGTCATTTAATGCACTTACCCTGACAGCTCCTAAGTTAGAAAGGGTAAGGCTTTCTAATTTAGCTCCCACTACGGCTTGGGAGCTGAAGTTCAATGGTAGCTTGTAAAATAGCAAGGACTTGCACCTGCAACCTTTGAGCCCCAAACTAATCACATGTGCCTGCTCCTATTGATTCAAGGACAGCTGAAAATGATAGAAACACATTAACTCCTCCCTCACCAAATTGTTGACACACATAGAGAGAGGGGTATTCAGAAGAGTCTCTGCTAGATGTG